ATTATAGACATAGCCATTCCAAACACTCACAATGTACAAAACACATGCACTGAAAAAATTAGCAAGTACACAGAACTCGCCCAGGAAATAAAGCATCTGTGGAGGATGGATAGGGTGCTTATTGTACCTGTCGTTCTCTCCTGTACAGGTGTGATACTACACACACTACACAAAAGCCTGGGAACATTACAATTGAGTAGAAATACCTACATCACACTGCAGAAGGCCACTATATTGAATACATGCAATATTTTTAGGAAATTCCTGAATACAGACACACACACTGACACACTTATTTAATTTTAGTTTTGTTTTGGTTGCTATGCCTTGACTCTGGTCCAGCATAGTACACAGCCACCGGTGTGAACCAAGTATAACTCACAAAACCCAACATAATAATAATAAATAAATAAAATAAATTTTATCAAACAATGAGATCAGCCAATTAATTGTATCGTGTACAATATTTTATACCCCTAAGGAAAATATTGTAGGTCTATGGTAAAATAAATTTCTTTTCCCACAGTTAAACTTTGCCGCTAATTGCCGTTGTGATAAACCATTTTCACTTTCTCTGATAATTTTAGCACAATTTTCTAACAGCACTTTGCATTTCTTTTGTTTTTTGGACATTTTCCAACATACTGAAATGAATTTCCTTTGTTGCTAGACTAATTTATTAACACCTGCACCTAATTTCAAGGGTGGGAGAAGTGCCCGGGTTGGGTTCGAACAAGAGTTTAGACTAATTCATTATATTAGGAGGAGGAAATGTTGAGATGGGTTCAAACAATAGTTTAGACCAGATATATTTGCGGAAGTGGTCACTTATTACAGTTGTATGTTGTTTTGGACCAAAAATTAATGCCCACTGTCGCATTACACAGATAGTTATTTAATTAATACAGACAACTTATACAAAGATTATGTATAAACTATTCAGTGCCAGAAATTTTTGCCCGTTTTGACAGGTGCCCATAGAATGCAGATGGTCGCCTAAGCAGTTTTCACTGTTTATATAATGCAGGAAGTGCAAAAACTACAATTATTTGACTCCAAGACAATTCTATTTTTCAAATATAAATAACTTATATAGTATCATGTTGTAAAACAAAGGATAAAGGCTTTTATAATCCAAGAACATACTGTAATGGCATGTTCATATAGATCAAGCTTTCTTGAAGACTTACTACTTGGAACAGCCCAAAATTTAACAATAAAACTAATTCACTTATTATGCTTTAGTTTGCAAATCTTTCTAATTTCTTTCATTTTTACTGTTTAATACAATGCTGTTCTACTTATAGGTCTTATAGCCACCCTACTCAGATGCAAACCATGAGCCACACCTAATAAGCAAATTCACAAAATTAAACAATCAAAGAACTGTGCATATGGTTTTCTGAATGCTAATGCTGATAACGATCAAGAAGTAGGATTCCTCTAGCATGCTGTTGAACAGTTTAGTTGTAATATGTTTAGTAATTCCTAACAAACTTTATTTCTTCTATAAAAGTTGATAAACAGTTAATATTACTGATATAAATAAAGCCTTATTTATACATAAAATTTTCTTGAGGAAAATAATTTATTTTGGGAATTATTTTTAATTTACATATTTTATCATCAATTTGATGTACTTAAAACAGGACTATTATTTTTTCCAAACAGTTATTAATAGTTGTTCACAATGCAATGTAAAATGGAAATATTTCAAAATAAATTTTGTTGAGCCAAATGCAGTTGGCTGAAAATCTGCAAATGATTCCAAATCTTGATGAATACATGAAAGAGTAAGAGTTAATAACCATTGTTCAACAGTATTTATGATTGATCACAATCTTTTGGTGTTTTACCCAAATGAAGAGTATCCCAGGCATAGCAATATATGGGTAATATATCCATTTTCAATGAAAACTGAAGATAGCAATTTGAACATGAAAGGAAAAGAAAGCCTAATCAACCTATCATTTGAGGACAGTCTCAAAGCTAAATTCCACTCATCTTTATCAAGACATCATTTTTGGCTCTCTGTAAAAAGTGAGTATCTAGTGTAAGCCATCATAAGTTTAATTCCATTTACAACAACCTATTCATGTGAAAAGACATTCTCATCTGTTACAGTAATGAAAAACTAATAACTGCTGTCTGCTTGAAATACAATTAGCTCTCCTTATTAAATTGACATCACTGGAGCCAAGAATTCATAAACTTATTTCAAACAAGAAGCAACAAACTTCACACTAATTTGTTTAATTAAACAAATTAATTTCATATTAATAAACTAAAATAAAGTAAAATGGAATATTCTATAGTTCATTATTCTATAGATGTTTGTATCATTTAAAAAAAATTCATAACAGTGGTCTTGGGATTCAAAATTCTGAGTTTAATGATCTATAATGTCAAAGGTTTGCAACCACTGGTCTGGAGTGAATTCACAAGAATGGTCCATTTATCCTTGGACCATTCTTGAAAGAATGGTCCAAGGATAAATGTGGCTTGAAACATGCTTTGTTACAGTCCAGAGATATTGAGAAATGCTTAACATTTTTGTTATATCCCAACTGAAATAGCAATAATGCCTTGAGTCAACCATTTTCACACAAGATGGAGTATCTCTACATATCCAAAGCTGTATACAGCAATTTCTGCAGCATTTTACCAATTACAGAGTGAATAATTGTACATTTCTTACTGCCTGGCCATGTCATTCTCTGGATCTTAATCTGTGCAATTTTTGGTTATAGAAACACTTATAACTTTGATTTATTGAGGCCATATCAAAAATTTGTAAGCATTGAGAGAAAATATACAGTATGAGATAAGAATCACAAAAGATCAACTATGGTTTGCCAATGAATACAGTGGTACCTCAGTACACATCTGCTTTAGAATATGCCCAATTCGGAATAGTCCTGTTTGGACAAAACAAATTTTGCTTGGTATATGACTTTTGTTCGGTATACGACTTAATTCAATTATACACGCCATCTATGAACAAGTAGCACTATCAGTGTACTAGACCAGACTAGATGTTCGCGGTGCCACAGTTTATAACTTTCTTCTGATTTTAATTTGTAAGTAACATTTTATTATTTTTATTAATCATGAATCGCAAAAAGGCAAATAAAAAGCGACAGAAAACTAAAAAAATTGACTAGAATCACAATGGAACTGAAAAAAGAGATTGTTGAGAAATATGAGGTGGCATGCATGTACGAGATTTAACTGTTGCACACCGTATTCCGAGAACGACTATATCAACAATCATGAAAAATAAAGACATTATTAAATCTGCTAACATTGCAAAAGAGGTTAAATCAATTTCTAAACAGTGATCGAAGACATTAGATCATGTTGAGAAATTGCTTTTGCTTTGGATTACTGAAAAGCAGTGTGCTAGCAACAGCGTATCAGAAGCAATTATTTGTGAGAAAGCTAAAAAGATATATGCTGATCTCATGAAAAATCAAGCAGGAACTAGCCAGGAAAGCAAGGTGTTTAAAGCCAGCCATTTTTTTTACATTAGAACGGATTAATCATTTTTATGTTACTTGTTATGGGAAAGATTGGTTTGGTGTACGTCCTATTCGGTATAGGTCTAAACACCAGGAATGGATTAAGGTCATATACCAAGGTTCCACTGTACACTGTTCATTTCCTTCAGATCTTACACCATTAGAATGGAGACCATATTAAAAAGTGTCTTGTGCAAACAAAATGTTTGTTGCTTACAATGTTAAAAGTGCCAGAGTGGTGCATTTTGGTGCAATTATATTTTAAAAGTAATTTTTTTCCATGTCCTGAAATGTCACCATATCAGATTTGATTGTATTTGGACTGCTACCTATCTCTTCAAATTGTAATTAAAATTGCTTTATTTAATGCTATCACCCAGTATTTAAAAACATACTTCAATTTAAGACATTTGCTAATTTATTAACATATTTTTGATCAGTATTTATTTATGAAGTATTTGCTTTATGAATAAAAATTTCTTACATTTATTATAAGTTATTATAATTTTAATATTAATAATTGTATATATGGCAATACTCACCTACGCAATTATCACACAAACTACAATGTGATGCCCTTGGAGGCCTAAATATTTTGCAAGTAAAACAGTACTTTAACTTAACAGTCTGTCCTTTTATAACTATTTCCTTTGTTCTGGGCGGGGGCCGATAAGTAGGTGAACTAGATCCATTCGGCACCTCTATATTAAAAAAATTAATATTATTAAATTTTATCAACATTCAAATCAATACCTATATAAATTTTTTCTACATACAGTGATGTATTATTCAAAATTCATTTTTGAAAATATTGTTGTTTTTCAGTTAGTTATATATTAAAATATTGAGATTTAAAAAATAAATAAATACCACATTTTTTTTCTAGGTTTTTATTGCTATTTCTCATTTTTACTTTTGAAGGAAACTTTTTGACTATCTTTTTCAGTAGTGACAAATGCAAAAAAGCACAATGCTGACTTGGCAAGCAAAATCTGTCTACTCTGCCAAAAATGCCATTCAATGTATGTATATTTGATGATCTTTAATATTTTTCTTTTCAATGTCATTTTGTTGTTAATTCTCTAAATGAATATCTTAAAAATAGCCCATTTTCCAAATAAAGTTTTTCAATAGGCAATGCAAATGTGATAAAGTTCAGCTAGTGATGTGAAAAGGATATTTTTAAAATTTCTCTTTGATAACTTGTAATTGTTGCATGATGTTATGATTTATTATTATTATATAGCTTATATAGCTAACCTTCAATTTACAAGTTATTAGAATAGCATTATTTTGGTTTAACATGATCAGAAAAATACAAAAAACTTATGGTATTTTAAAATTATGTTTAATCCTATTCTAATTACTATGACATTGCAGTTACAACATACCTACTTTATTCATTTAAAGAGTGGAATTCTTCATTTTATACATCAGGACTTTAAATTGTATGTATAAATGTAGTGCAGTAAAGAAATTTTCTTCATAAACTTATTTAAATTGGATTTTACTATAGAGAAATAAAATCCATTATTAAAGATTGTTTAAGATAAAATCATCATCATTCGTAAGCTAATTAGAAAAAGAAAACAACACAAAGAGTTAATAATGGAAATGAAAAATATTTTCAACCAAAAAAAGAAGATATTTGTTTTAACAACAACAACAAATGAAAAGATGAAAATAAAATTCATTTTATAATTAATAAAAAATGAAATCTTGAAACTTCTCCATTTCCCATATAAATGCTACTCTTGATTTATAGTATAAATCTCCAATTTACACAAAACTAATCATCTGTATAAATTAAAGGTTAAGTGTATACTGAAACATAAGTTATGTTATATGTATACAGTTATGAAGATAAATATATAATTATAAACTGTTGTCAAATGCAAATAAAAACAGCAGCAGATCAGAGTGCAAGTAACAAAAAAAATTAGAATTTTTTAAAAAGTAATATCCCTAAAGCAAAAAGATAGAGATAGTATTAAAGATTTGGCTACTTCTTTATCTTCATCTTTTCCTATGTTTATATGGGGTCAGCATTTCCTTCTCTAATACATTTTTTCCATTTCTCCCTATCAAGAGATTCTTCTCTCTTAAGTCCCCTCTGGTTCAAGTCTTCTTCTACCTTATCTTTCCAATGCACCTTTGGTCTTCCTCTTTCCTTTTACTACCAATTTTCTGATCTTCTTTCCAACATAATTGTCACTTCTTCACTCTACGTGGACAAACCACCTCAACCTACATTCTTGCATCTTTTTGCTCAAAGGGCCCACATTAACAGAACCTCTAATAAAATCATTCCTTACTCCATCCTTCCTTGACACCACACATCCATCTCAACATTCTCATCTCTGCCACCTCCATCTTTATTTCTTCAGCTCTTGTTATTGCCCATGTCTCAGCTCCATATCAGTTGTTAGACCTGCAATGTTATCATTGCAGGTCTAACAACTGATTTATACAATTTTCCTTTCAGATTGCGGCTAACTTTCTTGTTGCATAACACACTGCTCAGCTTCCTCCAGTTCATCCATCCACATTGAATTCTATGCTGCACCTCCGAGTTCAATCCTCCTCCCATCTCGACAAATGTCCCAAGATATTTAAAACATGGAACAAAAGGGAGCGGTGCATTTTGGATTTTAATATTACATGAATCTCTACCATTCAGAGTCATATAAGCTGTTTTAGTTCTGCTAATCTTCATGCCCCTTTCTTCCAAAACTTTCCACCAATTTTCCAGTTTCTTCTCAGCCTTGGTTTGGGAAAGTTCACACAGCACAATATCATCTGCAAACAGCATACTCCATGGAGCCTCACACTTCACGTCACACACCAACCCATCCATTATCAGGTCAAACAAATAAGGGCTATGGGCCGATCTCTGATGCAAACCAACATTAACGAAGAATCCCTCTGTAGTGCCCACACTACTCTTAACTCAGGTCTCTGCTCCCTCGTACATTTCCTTGACAAGCCTAGCATATTTTTCTGGAACATTCTTTTCCCTCAAACATCTCTTGCCTTGGTACACTATCATATGCCTTTTCTTGATCTATATGCAATTCTTCCTGCATTTCCCTGTGCCTTTCTATCAGCTGTTTTAGAGCAAAGATAGCATCAGTCGTACTCCTTCCTGTCAAAAAGCCAAACTGTTCCTCTCCGATCTCAGATTCCTGCCTAATCTTTCTTTCTACAATTTTCTCTCAAATCTTCATAGTATGGGACAATATCTTTATACCTCTGTAATCTCTGCAATTCTGTAATCGCCTTTACCTTTAAAGATTAACACAAGAATGCTCTTCCTCCATTCATCAGGGATCTTCTCCTGCTGCCAGTTTCTTCATAAGGTCCCAGAGGATATCAATTCTTTCCTTATCCAAACCTCTCCAAGCCTCAACCAAAATCCGATCAGTGTCTACTGGTTTCCCCATCTTCATTTTCCTAAGCACACTCTCCACTGCTAATATTTTGCACCACTCCTTCATTTGCATCTCCATTCTCGTATAAAGTTCTGGGGTTTTCTTCATTCAATAAATTCCTGAAATATACTTTCCATCTTTCTTGAACCCTTTCGTAATTTTGTAATACCACTCCTTTATCATCTTTAATCAGTTTAATAGAGGTAAAATCTTTTGATGCCTTATCTCTTGCTTTGGCAATTCTCATCAACTACCTTTCACCATCTTTCCTTTCGAAAACTTTATAAGCCTCTTCTAAAGCCTTTGCTTTTGCAATAGCCACTGCCTTTTTAGTCATTTTATTTTCCAAATAGTAAGTTTCTTTATCTTCAGGCCTTCCCATCAAATCCCATCTTTTTTTTGCCTCCTTCTTTTGTTTAACTACGAATTGTACCTCAGTATTCCACCACCAAAGTTCCTCTCCTTCTGGTGATCTCTTCCCTGAAGTTTTTCCCAAAACCTCTTCTCAAACTTTCAAAATGCAATTACTATTCAGCAACCACCATGTTTGCACATCATCCAGGAACTGGATTTCTTTTAACACTTACCTTAAACTCTTTCCTTAATTCCTCCTCTTTCAATCTCCACCATTTGATCCTTTGTTCAGTCTGGCTAACATAATTCTTACAATGTCCCATAAGAAAGTCAATCCACCAGATCTATGTTGTGCAGCAACACTTTCTCCATTTAACACCTTACTGTTTCTCAGTTCACTCAGATGTTTCCTCTGGCACAAGAAAAATCAATCTGGCTGGATCTACCTCCACTCATGTAAGTAACCAGTTGATTCGCTTTCTTCTCAAAGCAGATGTTAACTAGCACAAGGTCAAAAGCCACAGCATGATCTTTTATCTGATAAAAATCTGACATGACAAAATCATAATTTCTTTCATAACTTTAAAAGTTGCTGGAAAAGTTAAGCAACTTATTGCTGAATTTTTTTTTATCAATCTGATATAAAACAAGACCCTACTTTATTTTCAGGTATTTGAGTTTCCATACATTAAATTTTAGCAAAAAATTTACACAATGGTGCCATGTACTAGTACTTCAAATTTACTTCTGTTCAGGTGGCCATTAGAATTCTAAAATTGCTTGAATTTCAAATCAATTTTTTCCCATTAGAAATAAAATGGGTGATCAGTTAACGAACAAATCGGATAACAAACACTTTCCCAAAAGATTTTTATGTTCGGACAACGAACACATGATCGGATAACAAACACTTCACAGAACAAACACAAGAAGCAGCAATGTAAAATAATGAATACCAATTGGTCTTCTCTTGTCTTCAAACAATAATTTGAAACTTTTTGGAGCGCAGGAGACGTCGACATCAACACTCAACCCAGTATTTACTGATCAGATAGTATTCCTCTGAACTTTGAAACTCTCCTTGTAATTCCAGCTTTTTATTTTTCTGACAAAAACAATTTTTTAATAGTATTCACGAGACTGTCGGGCAGGCACTCATTAAGTTTTGCATCGGTTTTTATTTTCGAAAGGTGAGTATAATATCACAGGTAGAGTGGGAAGATGTCTGATGTCTGTTATTGCTGGGCAGTATGGATTGAACAGGTCTACAGTAAGCCGCAGTTCAATCTTATCTAAGAAAGATACTGTATTATCAAGAAGACTCAAGCAATTAAAGGAGTAACAAAAATCACATCTGAGAAATAAAGAACATTGAAGAGCTCATAATGGAACTTGAAACTGATCTGACGACAGAAGAACGCCAAGAAACTTGGCAACATATGTTTTCTTCTGAAAAATAGGATTAATGGCGATATCTGCTATTAAACATCTTTTGAAGAAGTGAGAGGATGTCAGAACGACGGTCTTAGAATGACATCCAAACCAGGTTGAGGTTAATAGGCCTAGGGATATCTACAATTACAATGCTATGAATTACTTCTGAAAAACCATGAAGAAGAGAGAAAAGCAATCGACATTGGACAGATTCTTTAAATCTTACAATGCTATTAATTACGTCTGAAAAACCATGAAGAGAGAAAAACAATCGACATTGGATAGATTCTTTAACCCCCACAAACGGAAAAAACATGACTAATAAAAATGCAAGTCTGCATATATATGTATTTTTTGTAATAAATAAAAAATATAAAAATAAAATAGTATATATATTTTTTTATTTTTACAAGTCTCCGGAATGAATTAATCAAATTCCCATAAAAACCTATGGTAAACTGATATTCAGTTAACGAACAATTCGGATAACGAACAAAGTCTTGGAATGGATTATGTTCGTTACCTGATCACACACTATAATGGAAAGTGAATTTATTCATTCTCAGAACCTAAATAATACCCATTATGATAAACTTAAAACAGTAAATACACATAATTTCCAGTAAAAATAACACAATTAGTAATTAATTAAAACAAAATAATAAATAAAATATGTAAATACTGTATAATAATATGAAAGCTTCATTTACTGGTCAACACCAACTATGGTATCTTAAACATGATTGCCTAATCTACCACATTTGTGACTCTTTCATGTTTTATGATAAGTTGATAAGTTTTTTTTTCATCTCAATCATTGATATTACAACTTTTCTCTTAGACTTTACTTCCACACACTTCTCAGATGCCACAATTAATGTAAAGTAATGTGAGATTATATTCTTTGTTTAGAAGCTTATTTTAAATATTTTACTTCACATTTTGTTTGAATAAAATAAAGTTGAACTGTCTTCAGATAAAAAAAAATTCATGTCATTGCTTGATGAAATTCAAAAATGATATAATGCCATACAAACAGTAAAAGAAATTCATAATGTATATGAGGAAGATGCTCCTAAAATTCAAATATGTTAAATGTGATTTTAAAAAGTTCTGTTCAGAAAATATTGAACTAAAGAATACAAAATGTGCAGGGCTTGCAAAAGTTGAGACAAAGAAAAATTGCAGGAAGAAATTGTTAAAAAAAATTGACAAATAACAATATATATATAACCAAATACACCAAACATAAAGAAAAAAAAAACACTGAAAACATAAGCAAAATGCAAGAGCAAGTGATAGACAACTTAGGTGCACAACAGATTACATTCATGTTTCAAGAATATTTTTTGACTGCACATACATTTCAAACTTTGAAGAATCATTGAAACTCTGAAGCAAATTTTTTTAAAATTTAGTATTTGAAGCACCACTGTATAAAAATATATATAAATGTTAGTGTAATAAATTTTTAAACCAATACTTAATTCAGAATAAAATTTAAAACAACTTTTTTAAAATAATTTAAATATATAATAAATTTACCTATCTGTTTTTCGATGTCTGCAGCTTCGTCAGGAGTTGCTCTAGGAATGACCCCTGGATCACTAAAACTAGTACGTAGCAATGTAGCCATAACAAATAAAAAGAGTACTGCACCAACTACAGGAATCACAACACCAATTTCTTTTAACAAGAAGGGACAGCTAAAAATTAAAAATGATTGTCTTTTAAATTAGAACACATGTTATAATATAAGCATATTCATAACATAGTAAACTGCAATATTTGTATTTGAAAACTACAGATTCTTTCATTATAGTTTTAAAGATTTCAAATAATTATTAAACAGGATTAAAAAGTTAAACATAGTGTTTTGTATTTAATATTTTTGGTTAATTTTTAAATCTTATAAATCTTATTTTCTATATTTAATATATTTATTAATATGACCCAGCACATGTGACTTGCTTGGTAAATTTGTATTTTTTAAATGCTTATAATTTCAAATTTGCTTTCTGTTCCATTTATTATGTTCCAGTCTATAACCTGAAGATGGCCATTATACATCATTGAAAACATTTGTTTCATTAATAAACATTCTATATTTTACTGGATTTAAGGTTTTTTGGAATTAATTTTAGTAATTATATTCAGTTTTTGAAGTTTCATAAAGTTAATTAATAAATTGGAACTTTTCAACTAACACTGGTATGCACAAAATAATACCTTTTCTTACTTACTCCAACAATGTTTATTCTGAATTACTGATGTTTTTAGCCACATTTACAGGAGTTTTTCAAGTAAAGAGCTGTTCCATTTATCAAACGTTCAAAAATAGAGAATACCAAGACAAACACCTCATTCTCACTTACAAACCAGAAATGCATAGATTATACACCAAGATTGCTAAAAAAAGAAGTTAAACCTCCAAGTCACTTATAAAATGTCTACTATATACAGGTTACTGACCAATGGTAAAGGCATTTTAAACAAATTACAAGCCCCAGGTTATACATCATTCCTTATTGGCTTCCAGATTTAACAGACAGACATATATATTTGAGCTGACATATGTTAATACATATGTTGGCTCAATCTACAGATCCCTGAATATGAGAATTAATGTGAGGCTCCGGAAGTAGGTCGAAATTCGCGCANTTCTCCCGACCTCATCAAAAATCACGCTACCGATTGACGCGATGGTTACAGGTGCGGAAGTAAGTGAAGCTTTATCCCAAGGCCAGGGTCATGAGCGCTTGCCGCCGCCTACGCCAATCGGACTCTTCAAAGATTGTAAATGGTAGACTCTTTTATCCAGTAAAAGAGACTTATCATGGGGAAGAGGAGTCAGTAACAACTAGTACATAAACAGTTTTTTTTTGTAAAGCAAAAAAAGATTTTGTTTTATGTCGCGACCTATTAATAATGTCAACTTTGTAAACTTTGAATGTGAAATTTCTGTTCACACAAGTGTTTTTCGAATCCAAAATTGTCGCGAGAGAAACACGATCGCAAATATCCGTCATAGATTGAGTAATTTATATAATCGAAATGTGAGGAAAATTATCCCTCCAATTTTCAAACGCGTGTAAAACAACTGTCTGTCACAACCAAAGCAACCATCAAAAGAACCGATTCGGAAGAAAATGACGATATTCAAAAAAGGAAAGGTTGAAATCGTCATCAGAAAAGGTTCAAGAAACATCGAACTTTCAACAGAATTGTAGTCAGAATCCAAAGAAATCGTCATCTTCGAACTACATGACCTCGATTTGTGGTAATCTGCATCAACTCTGATGACAGATAACAGTCTCTTGTTCAGAAGACTGACAATCTGGAAAACAAGTATGTCTACAAAAAAAAAAAATGGGGAACACACGAACTTCCACCGTCTGTGCAGACACCCCATCATCCTCCTACGATTCAGAACGGAAATGGAGTAGTCCACTCCAAATTTCAAAAAAAAAGAAAAGGGAAAAATATTCTGTTGGAAAACTGCGAGAGAAAGGAAGACAAACAAACACACAGATGACATGTGATCTTCGGACTTACACTCAACACGTCCACGTGTGTCGGAGTGTGGCTGTGAAGTATCTTCTACATCTACATTCTGAATGTGACAGACTAATTGAACTACGTATATCGAATCCCTATTTGTGTTCCGAAGAACCTGAAAGGAAACGCGAATATATTCGATTTTAAACCCCCTTTTGGCTTTTTCAGAAAGAAATGAAATTTTGTGATTAGTATAAATTGCTC